GGAAGAGAACCAGCTGAACGAAACATATTTCCAAATTCATCCAACAAAGATGCCTTCAATTGAGATTTAAATAGAAAAGCCCCTCTCCAAGTTTCTGCTTCTACACTTTATTGTTGTTTAAGAATAAATTAACAAGCAAATAGGCAGAATATGCAAAATTTGAATCCACAGTTTCCAAAACCAATGAGCTAATTGCATATACAAGACCATATCAATACATCCACATTTACTCAAGCATGACATAAATCAGTACAAGATGAAGTGCAAAATGAAGATCCAAATTTGACAACTAAAAGAAAACAAACCTTAGTTAAGCTTGACTCACCGACTACGACCTCGAGCGGACAACCTCGACAAATCGACGACCAAATCGACTCAGATCAGGCGCGATTTTGACCGGAAAACCTCGATAACAAACTCGACGATAACCTCCCTTCCGAACACTCCACTGACCAACACTAATAGAGAATAAATCCAAGCTGAAAATCCGAAGGAATTAAACTCCAAATTAAGGGAACAAAAAACCGAAAATTAGTGGGTTCAATTTCGCTACTGTTTCCTCCTATGTTCCTCTCTTCGTTTCGCTACTGCTTCCTCCGGTTCAACTTTTCCGTTTTTGTTTCAGTTCAGGCAAGGTTAGCGTCTGGTGAGAGGTTGATTTCCGGCGAGTTTGGTTGCTGAAGATTCAAAAATGGCTGAAGCTTGTGAGGTCTTAGTCTAGGTCTGGAGAAGATGAAGGTCGGGGGGTGGGGAGTCGTTGGTTTCAGGGGTGAACAGCGGGTTTGGGTGAGGGATTTTTGGTTTGGTTGTTGAAGAAGATCGATGGGGAGGGTCCTTCGGAGAAGATGACGCGGGGGAGGAGGGGGTCACCAGGGAGATGAGGGGTCTCTTCTTTTGCACTGTTGCGGCTCATCCCCTCAATTAAGAAGAATAGGGGTTTGGGTGTTGGGTCGGGTCGGGTCGACCGGTTTGGGCTGGGTAAGGAGAAAAATTTGGGCTTATTTAAACAACCAGCCTTTTTTCAATTTCCATTTCTTTTCTTTCTTTAATAAATTAAATTTCTAAATTAATTCAAATTGTAAAATTAAACTAATTATCTAACTATGATGTTTATAAAAATTAGTTGATCCTAAATTTAAAGAGAAAACTTAATAATCCAAAATTAAAAGCTAAGAGTGTAAAAATGAGCCATTTTTTGCGATTTTTTATTTTTAATAAAGCAATTAATTAATTATCTAATCCTAAATTATGAACACCAAATCTAAATGCAATGCATGGTATTTTTGGTTTTTTTTTTTAATGGAAATTAAATATGCACGAAAATGCAAATAATTAATAAAATTCTACAAAAGTCCTATAAAATTGCAAAAATTAGGGAAAACTCTATTTCTTTAAATTGTAGGAGTATTTCACATAGGGCAAAAATCACGTGCTCACGGCTGCCCCTCTTTGCTCGGAAACACGAAGTGTTTTCGGGCAAAGATAAAGTGAGCGGATACGAGCGATTTTTGCCCGTTTGAATACTCCGTGGGAAGCATTTTTGAAAGATTTGATCGAACCTTGCTTCAGAGGTTGCCTACATATCCTTGGCTATAAAGAAATCAGGTCAGTGTAGTTCAGAAGTGAGTGAGATGATGAAGTATACTGAGGTGGAGAGCCGGTCGAGGTGTCGTTCCGCCGAGGTTCCGGGCCGCGGTCCTGTTATTACATCAAAAATCAAAACATGAAAAAGACTAGTTAAGCCTGTCAACTACGAGTTACAAGATTCCTATCTATAAGTCTTCTGAAGCTTGATTTTGAGTCTTGAGTGGTTCTTCATACAGACTTTAGATTTGAACCTTGACGCTTGCTAGTTGCAGGTGTTAGTTCATCCTTCTTCAGCTTTTCGAATTAAAACCAGGTATGTAGTTCCTGTGACCTCGGCCATGTATTGAGCAGCTCACATCTCTTCTCTACTTCTGCATTTGGATTCACTTCTTGCCTTTTTTTTTTATTCTGGGTTGTGACTAAGTTCCGTTGATCATCTCGGACTATTGACTCGCATTCTTGCCGCGAGCTTCTTTTGTTGCTGACTTGCATTGCATTCTGAAGTGAATTCCTTTATCTCCAGGTAGGCACCTGATTGCCAATATTCAAATTGTCTTCTTTTGAACCTTGCTGCTTTCCCTTGAAATCTATGCTATCTTCCTTTGAAACTTGAACTGTCTTCCCTTGAAACTTGAACCGTCTTCCTTTGAACATTGCTTTCCCTTGAAACTTGAACTGTCTTCCCTTGTTCTCCAGGTGGGCGCCTGATTGCCGAAACTTTTATGTGTTCTCTTGTTTTCCATGTGGGTCCCTGCAATCAAAACAAACAAAACAAATAAAATTTTCTGCCCTAGTTTGCACTAGGAAGATTTATGAGCTGTTAGCAAAATTGTAAGCCACTTATACAATTGATGCAATGATGAGAGTAAACTAAAGACTAGACTAGGATGTGCGTCTCCTACGAGTAAAACCAAGAAACTTTGACTAGCAAATGCGTCTGCTAAATAAAACCTGAATGAATCAAACTGGGAAGTGCGTCTCATAGGGGACCAAGACTAGGAAGTGCGTCTCCTAGGGGTGAAAACTTCAGTGACTAAAACTAGGAAGTGCGTCTCCTATGAATCAACTTTCAATTTAGGAAGTGCGTTTCCTACATCTGTATCCTGAAAGACCCAGACTAAGAAGTGCGTCTCCTATGGGTGAAACTTGAATGACTCAAACTAGGAAGTGCGTCTCCTATGAATGAACTATCAATTTAGGAAGTGCGTCTCTGTGATGACCCGACCAGTTGTCTCATGAGTTACCGCCCCGTTTCCCCCATTTTCAGCTTCTTTATGCTTCAATATCCGTATCTTATGTGACCGAGTTGGTTTGGAGAGCTTTTGGTAGGAAATGAGACACTTAGTCTCTTTAAGGAAGGTTTGGTTTGGAAAAGTCAACCGGATGTTGACTTATGTGTTAGAGGGCTCGGATGTGATTTCCGGTGGTTCGGTTAGCTTCTGGGGATGATTGTGACTTAGGAGTGCGATCGGAAGTGGTTTTGGAGGTTCGGTGTAGAATTATGCTTGAATTGGCGAAGTTAGTATTTTGGCGATTTCCGGTTGATAGGTGAGATTTTGATCCGAGGGTCGGAATGGAATTCCTTAAGTTTCTGTAGCTTCATTATGTGATTTCGGATATGTTTGTAAAATTTCCGGTCATTTGGAGGTGATTTGGTTCGGCTTTTTTATCAAATGCGTGTTTCGGAAGTTTTAGAAGAACTTAGGCTTGAATTCGATGTAATTTGATGGTTTTGGTGTTGTTTGAGGCGTTTTGATAAGTGGAACAAATTTGAATGATGTTTTAGGATGTGTTGGTGCTTTTGGTTGAGGTCCCGGGGGCCTCGGGTGAGTTTCGAGTGGTCAATCGGACCAATCTTGGCATTTTGGAGTTGCAGATTCTGCTGTTCTGATGTTGCAGGGTGTTTGGTCTTCGCGATCGCGTGGGTGGCATCGCGATCGCGTAAAAGAATTTTGGAAGGCAGGTGTTTCGACCGGAGAAGTCATTTTTGGAGGAGAAACTATGCGTTTTTGGGATCTGCGTGCTCCATGGTTAGAGCCTCTAAGGGGTCCAAATGGGTTAGACTTGAGTAGGTTGAAAAAAGACATACAACCTTGGCAGGAACGGCGTTCCGCAGAATATATGACTCATGCTCCTTTAGGTTCTTTAAATTCCGTGGGTGGTGTAGCTACCGAGATCAATGCAGTCAATTATGTCTCTCCTAGAAGTTGGTTAGCTACCTCTCATTTTGTTCTAGGATTCTTCTTCTTCGTAGGTCATTTGTGGCACGCGGGAAGGGCTCGTGCAGCTGCAGCAGGATTTGAAAAAGGAATTGATCGTGACTTTGAACCTGTTCTTTCCATGAACCCTCTTAATTGAGACGAGACAGGAGATCCAATGCTTGAATGAAGTAAAAATCACTTGGATTCAATCATACATCTTGGAATCAGCCTAAGTATTCCTTTTTTCTTTCTTTTTTTCAATTCATTTTATCTAACTTATATCTAATCTATTTTTCTGGCTTGGCTAGGTGGGATAGCCGAGCCATTCCCTTTTCTTTCGGATAGCAGGTTGGGCAAAACCACTAAAGAAAAAAATCTATTCAATTAGCAAAAAAGGAGAGAGAGGGATTCGAACCCTCGATAGTTCTTTGTTAAAACTATACCGGATTTCAAGACCGGGGCTATCAACCGCTCAACCATCTCTCCGAAAGACTATTTTTATTTTATTTCTCCGAATAGAACATGGCCATAGGGGTGGATACCCCCACTATCTGTAGAAGATCTCAGGTGTGAATCCACCGATCGATCTATCTATCCGTATATAGATATATGATCTAGCATGCCAATTTGTGAAATAAAAAATAAAATTCCATTTCCCCCCACCCCACTCCATGGCTCCTCCCACTGCTTGGGAGCTTACGGTTTCATGTTCTATTTCACTCCCCGATGGGGGTTCTTTTCACCCTTCCCTCACGGTACTACTTTGCTATCGGTCACCCAGGAGTATTTAGCCTTGCAAGGTGGTCCTTGCTGATTCACACGGGATTCCTTACTCTTCGCATTCGCGATTGAGGGTCCGCGTTCGCGGAAGGTCTTGGTCTGGTGCTTCGCGTTCGCGTGTATGGTCACGCGTTCGCATAGCTTTGTGAGTGGAAGCTTCGCGTTCACAGAGCTCCTGTCGCGTTCGCATAGAGAAGTTTTGGAAGCTTGGAATTTTGCCCTTCGCGATCGCGAGGCCTTGGCCGCGATCGCGATGAAGGAATTACAGGACTGGGCAATGAGGTTTTTAAACATTTCCTCCACGAGCTAAGTCATATTTTCCTCCATTGTTGACCATTTTGAGAGCTATTTGGGAGAAATTGAAGAAGGTTTCGAAGAGGACTGATTGGAGGTAAGTCCTATGAACTAAAAACGTGATTATTAGGCAGTAAATCACTAAAAGCGATTAATATCACAAAACCTTAAAAAATAACTCATATTATTTGAAGTAAATAACTAATGTCATTATATAACTAATCTTAACAAATAACAATCTTCAAATAATCTCTGAAACTCTTCGTCATATTGAAATCTTCCACCCACTAAATTATCGAACATCAGACTGCATGACCTGAAATTATAAAATAACTATGTCAATAGGAAGTAAATGTTGCCAAACAACAAAGCTGATAATAGTTTGCGAGGTTATGAAACTAAAAGTCCATAACCAGAAAGGGACACAAGCAAAATTGCAAAAATCTGCTTCATTAATGTCCCAAAAGTATGTATAGTCTCATCTATGAAGTATTTTAATATATCTGTAAATGCATCATACAAGCAAACATATCAAATCAGCCTTATGAGCATTCTTCACCAAAAAATTTCAATTGGCAACAGATTTTCTGCTAAAGCAAATCTTACTGCATGAATCTAGTGCTCTATAGCTTAGAAATATAGCTATTCTCAAGTCATTTCGTAACTACTTCAGGTATGACAGTATAATGACTTTTTTCCAAAATTCTCCAATGCTGCGTATCTGTCTAGAAGAGGGAGAAAGAGATAAAGGAGTTGATTATAATTTTATACTAATTTTGTTTCACTTATATAAGTTCAACTTGGAGAATATGTATTGCTACTACTTCTTTTCATTTAATTTTTATTGATCCATATATAGAATTTCAAGTATAGTCTCCTTACTTTCTCAGTTTTTCCTAAGGCCGCCATCTTAATTTTACATTTCCTTCTTTTGTTTTCTTAAAAGGATCTTAATCGGGTGATTCCAGATCTTCAGAAAAGGCATAAAAGCTCTCAAATGTTCTGGATGGTGTTTCAACTAAATCATTTAATATGGACTATCAAGGCCACTGTAAGCCCCTAGGTAAATTTGTTTGGATTAACTTATATACAATACGGACAATCCTACTACCATAAAGTTTAGAAAGAAAAAAAAAGAGTAAGGACCTATGGATCTTGTTTCATTTCTTGCAAGTCTAGATGAACTTGCGGAAAAACACATTTGATGTTGCTTCTATCAATGTGGTGGCACTATAAGGCTATGAATATATCTGCAAGCTTCATTTGGCAAAAGAATATAGAGAGAACATTAAAAAAAATAGAAAACTGAATCTAAAAGAATAACGATACTTCTGTTCCGAAGTCTTTGGAAAAAATGAGATTTTGCATCCCCACAATGAGACAATTTTCACAGTAAAGTATCAGAACTTTTTACCTAGTAAAAGGTGTGCTAAACATGATTCGAAATACCTACCAAAACATGATAAAAAGGAAAGTGTGTTAGAATTTTCTGTTGTTAACTATTTCACTTTTCCCTTTTATTTTATGATAGAATCCTCTGCCTTTATAGATGAATAAATTCTGCAGCAGATTTGTCTAATTAATTTCTTATTTTCGAACTATCTTTCTTTATAAATATTTTCTCAAGCTGTTGCATTTTACTCACCAGTATGTAGTGGTATTTTGGTACTCCAATATTAATATAAAGCTGCCTGTTTATTAAGAAAAGTGAGCTAGACCAGTGAGCTAAGAATTGAATCACAGTTCTCCCAAGCCCCAAGAAGTAAACAAGGAAAGCTTTGATTTCACAGTATGATACTCAACCTGCTGGCTTAAGCATTATATAAAGCAGTCATGGCAATTGTTAAAAATACCAAATTACTGATAAAATGAGAGATACACAAGCTTTAACATAACAAAAAAAGCATACATAAGGGACTCAAGATATTACCACATTTCTTCATGCAACATCATTCTATGACAGAACACTACCTTAGAACTATAGCCTTTAAAACATCAAAGCAACATATGCAACGACTAACAAAAGAAAAGCAAGCAAATGCCTTCAGTAGACAACTAATAAACTTGCCAGATATATAGAGGCTACACACTTTATTTAATTCTGCAAACTCTAAAATTAATATAATTTACTCACCCTTAAGAGTAAGTACTCTGAATGCTAAATGTGTCGGTTCCTATTATGAACTCCCCTTGAAGAATTGTACTGAAATGCTTGATTATTTCCACCAAGCTTGGTTGGGATTTAAAGTACTCAAAAGTACGTACAATTTTAGTAGGTGTAAATTACACAATGAAAGTACCTAATCAAATCATTCCTAATTGATGTAAAATTGTAATATTTTAACAAACTGAAGAAAAAGTAAATTTGTTTTAGAAGAGTCAATGTTAAGTACAATTAATAGCTAGAGAGTCCAATTCAAAGTTCACAATAAAAAAAGTTATCATGAGAATAGAGAAGTTATAGATGTAGGTATAGAATTTACTCATGGCATAAAATTTGTAGGCTTCAAGCTCCCCAAGGTTGATATAATGCCTTATACTTCTGTACCGTCTCCTGTAAATACTGTACATATTGAACTACCTCCACACAAACTTCAAACTCACCAATAAATCTAAACTTCAAATAAAAAAAGGATAAATAGTTTTCTTTCTAAAATGTACCTGCAATAAGAATGGCGTGGCATCTCCATTAAACAAAAAAAGATGAATAATATCTTGAATTAACAAAGCATGATTAGTTGAATAGCTAAACTAATCATAAGTTTAATCATCTATTATATACTATTTATCATTGTATTTTATACATGATTGGATTTTCTTCTTCCAAGGGGCTTTCTAATGTGAAAATCAGTGGAATCCATCTCAGGTTATCCATCACTAGGCCGTCAAAAGACCCTGCAGAAGTTAAAAATCCTAATAACCCAGTTTACAAAAAGAAAAAGTTTATACCCCAAAAAAACTAGAGCTGGAGAAAGTCAACATTCCATTTTGTTCTAAAATATTTTCATGAGAAATCCCTAATCCACAACCCTAACTACTTTTTAGAACTCAGGTGACTGAAGAATTTTCGCAAATTTTCCAATGTATACTAAATTCTGCTCCAAAAACTTGTCATTTAAGCTAAAATAAAAAAATTGTTTACCTCGAATTGAAAATGGAGAAAAAACTTATTACTCCAAAAGGGATTCCACAAATCTGTCAAATTCAAGCTCATCGCAATATTGAAATCGCCATATCCCCTACCTTCATATACGTCAGAGAGAGCGAGCGATAGAGAGGAACAAGAAAGTCACAGACGAAGATAAAGGAAAGGGGTGGTAAGATGAAGATGACTACACAGATAATAGCGCAGTTTTTCTAATTTTTCAAAGCCCTCTCTGAAGCATCTGAGAGTCTTAGGGTTTTGTGGTTTTGTGGTTTTTTGGTAGTAATATGTTTTCCTATTATTTTCTAATTGGAGGGAATGTAATTTTTAATCCAAAAAAATTGGAGGGATTTTTTTTTTTTTTTTTTTGTAGGGAGGGAAAGTTAAAATGATAAAAAGTTAATTTCAATTAGTAATTTTTAGTGGTAATTTTTTTATTGTCGGTAAAAGGAAATCTTTCTTTTACTGGCTAATGGTTAATATTTCAGCTTAAATAATTTATGGGCGGCAATTGCATTATTATCGCTAAATAATTGCCACCAAATATTTTTTTGTACTAGTGCAATATCTACGAAAATCCCAATGCTTACTGTAATTCCAAGCAACTCATTTAACAAAATTCCTAAAGAATAAAATAAAAATCTATATCTATACTATATTAAAAGCACGAAGGCTCTTAGCGAAATGTCATTCGCCTTTTTTACCCTTTAAAAATAGAGTACACACTAGACAAAATTGTCATTTAACTATTTTCATAATATTTAGGACTTCATAATCACCAAAATTTTCTATATTATCTTTTTCCTTATATATTTAAACTACATAATACCATATTTGTAATAAAAAAATACTAGCAAAATCAAAGTTTAAACTAGCGTGTACTTTGAACTCCTATAAGGTTTAGGAGTGTTGTCTTTGTATAGAATTATTGCCGGTTAATTCTTTAAAATTTTACTATTTTAGTAAACTAAAAGAAAATTAATTGAAAGAGAATAAGTAGAAAGCAAATAAAGTCTTGTGCAATTAGAACTCCTTATTCTTTTTTTTTCTTAAATGTAAGATGTTGCTCTTGTAGTGTGAATGCTTCAAAGTTGATCACTATCCGCTTTACAACAAATAACTTAAAATAATCAAAAGGGTACAATACACATGCATTAAAATTTACCAAAAAAAGAATAGATTTAATTTTAAATCAAAAAATATTGAAGTTTCCTATACATCGTAAATCAAAACCTATAAACCTAATAAAAAAATATCTATAAATAAGTTTACAAAATGTAGGTATATAATTTTCAAAATAATTATAATTATATTATAGTAATAATAAACTATAAGATATTTTAAATTTTTTGTTAAATTTATGCATGTTAAATCACAAATCCAATTAGATAATTGAAGCATAAATAAGATAAAGAAATTTATATAATGAAATTAATAGTAAATTGCACGTATTTCTTTATAAAAAAATATAAGGATGAAATAGTAGAAAATAAGGTATATTATAAATAAGTCGTCATTTTTAGTGTTTTTAGTTTTGGCATTTAGTCCTACTAATGATAGCTTCACTATATTTTTTTTATATTAAACTATTTATCGTAAATATTAACTCAACCGCAATTATTTTTTAGACTTTATAATTTCAAGTTCATAACAATTGAAGTCTCCTAAACATCGTAAATCAAACATATAAATATATTAGGATGAATAAAAATATTATATATAACTAAGTTTACAAATGACAAGATTATATTTGAAAATAAGATAATTATATTAATAATAGCTATAGTGTACTTTAAAATTTTTGTTGAGCTTTTACACGTTAAAGCACAAACCCAATCAAATAAGTGAGGCATAAATAAGATACTGAGATATATCAGAATTATACTAATAAATCGTATGTATTTTTATAAAAATTTTAAGGATGAAATAATAAGAAAAATATGTATTATAAATAATAAGTTGTCACTTTTTTCTTGTATTTAGTCCAAAAAATGACGACGCCTCACTACATTTTTTTATATTAAATTTTTTATTATAAGATATTAGTTCAACTATAGTCATTTTTTAGACTTTACAATATTAATTTTTGGGAAGCTATAAGACCAACCTTTATATTCTTTTTTGTGTTTTGTTTTCTATATTAGGCCACCAAAACAGCAATAATTTTCATAAG